TGGGTAGCTTGTGGAGATTTTAATGCTACAAGATATCCAAACGAAAGATCAGAAGGGCACGGAATCACTACGCCAATGACTGAATTCTCTGAATGGATAAATGAGATGGAGTTCATCGACCCTCCTTTATTTGGGGGGTCTTTCACATGGAGAAAGGGGGACAACCACATGTCTGCCTCCAGAATTGATAGGTTTTTATTTTCCTAGTGGGATGAGACCTTCACACGAATTAAACAGAACATGCTTCCCAGAATAGGTTCTGACCACAATCCAATTTTGCTTGAATGCGGAGATTTAAATTTGAAGAAGTCTTACTTCAAATTTGAACAATGGTGGTTAAGGGTGGAGGGTTTCTCAGACAAAGTTAAAGATTGGTGGGAATCTTTCAATATCACTGGTACGGGCTCTTATGTCCTAGCATCCAAGTTGAGGATGCTAAAGGGGAAGCTAAAAGAATGGAAACGGGAAAATAGGAACAATTGGAATCAGAGAAAAGAGGAAATCTTAAATCAGCTGTCAATTTTAGAAAAGACTCAGGAGTTGAGATTGCTATCAAAGGATGAGTTACTTCAGAAAGTACATCTTTCAATGGAGTTTGAAGATGCTGGAAAAAAATGAGGAAATAGCTTGGAGGCAGAGGTCTAGAGTACATTGGCTTAAACACGGAGACAAAAATACCAAGTTTTTCCACAGGATGGCTACAGCTCATAAAAGATTCAACACCATTGACAAGTTGATGGTTGAAGGGGTTACAGTAACAGATTCTGAAGAAATTAAAGGAACCATAATTAATTTCTATCAAAATCTTTACAGAGAAACTGAACAATGGAGGCCAGAATTTAATGTACAGGGAGCAGAAAGCATTACGCAAGAGGAAAATGTATGGTTGCAGAGGCAATTCGAGGAAGATGAAGTTTTTACTTGCATAAAATCATGTGCTAGTGATAAGGCCCCCGGACCAGATGGCTTTCCGATGAGTTTTTTCCAAACCTTCTGGGAGATACTGAAGACAGACTTTATGAATGCAGTGAGACAATTTCATGAAAGACATGAGATAGAGAAGAGCCTCAACGCCACCTATGTGGCTCTAATTCCAAAGAAGATAGGAGCTATGGATCTTAGGGACTTTAGACCCATCAGTCTCATTAGTGGTGTGTACAAGGTCTTTGGTAAGTTGTTGGCAGAGAGATTAAAGAAAGGGATAAGCAAATTAGTGAACAATCATCAAATGGCCTTCATTCAAGGAAGACAAATTATGGATGCCGCATTAATAGCAAGTGAGTGTGTAGATTCAAGGATTAAAGGAGAGATCCCAGGAATTATGTGCAAGCTTGATATAGAAAAGGCATATGATCATGTCAATTGGGAGTTTCTACTTAATATTCTGAGGCAGATGGGGTTTGGAGACAAATGGCTTAAATGGATAGGTTTTTGCATCAAAACTGTCAGGTTCTCCATACTTGTTAATGGAGAACCTGCTGGTTTTTTTTCCTTCTGAGAGAGGACTACGACAAGGAGATCCTCTTTCCCCTTCAGCATCTTCCAAATCAAGGAAGTGGCAAATATTCAGCTGTTGGCAAGCATCTTGCAATGCAAGATAGAGCACTTACCAACTACTTATCTGGGAATGCCTTTAGGGAATAATCACAAGGAGCTTGAGATTTGGGATGGAATCATTGAGAAAACAGAGAAGAGGTTGGCTAATTGGAAGGCAAACTATCTATCTCTGGGAGGAAGAGTCACTCTGATCAATTCAGTTCTGGATGCGTTGCCTACATATGTTATGTCACTTTTCCCTTTACCAGCAAAGGTAGAAGAAAGGCTGGATAAAGTGAGGCGTGATTTTCTATGGTCGGGGAACAAAGAAGGGAAAAAGATACACTTAGTTAAATGGCAGACAGCCTTACTAAGCAAGAAGACAGGAGGTCTTGGCATAAAAAAACTGAGGGTCCAGAACAAAAGTTTACTTTCTAAATGGCTTTGGAGATTTGTGGTTGAAGATCAGGCATTATGGAGAAAAGCAATTCTCAACAAGTATGGGCAGACCGAGGAGTGGGTGTCTAATGTAGTAGATAGCACGTATGGGGTATCAGTTTGGAGATCAATCAGAAATTTATGGGATAGTCTAAAGGAGAATTTGGTGGTCAAGGTGGGAGAGGGTAACAAAATATTTTTTTGGAAGGACAAGTGGATTGGACTAGACTGTTTAAACTCGGTCTTCCCCGATCTTTTTTCTTTTTGTACCAATTCTGAGGATAAAATTGCTGAGATTTGGTCCCCTCAGGGATGGAACCTCACTTTCAGGAGAAATCTAAATGATTGGGAAGTGGATAGAATTGCTGAACTGCTTCTCAAATTGGGTGAATTCACAGGCCCTACTACAGAAGCAGATGGTATAAGATGGAAACATAACTCTGATGGTAAGCTCTCTGTGCGTAGACTGTATAAGAGAGAGATCATGACTCACTCTGGGGGAATTCTTGGCCCATGGAAACAAATATGGAAGGGCAACACCCCAACCAAGGTGAAATGCTTCACCTGGTTGGTCATCAGAAGGGCATGTCTCACTCAGGAAAAACTCAAGAAAAGAGGCTTCCAGATCGTCTCCAGATGCTTTTTTTGTCATGAGAAGGAAAAAAACTAACAACCACTTATTCCTACACTGTAGGGTTACTGTACAGGTGTGGCGCATGGTTCTCAGCATTTCTCAAGAGCCCTGGGTGATGCCAGAACATACTGCCGATCTATTGAGCTGCTGGATGAGGAGGGGGGGGAGCAAGACCCAAAAAAGATGGTGGTCTATAGTACCTACTTGTGTCTGGTGGGCTATTTGGAGAGAAAGAAACCTTAGGTGTCATGAGAATATTACTAACACTATTCAAAATGTTGAAGAAAATTGCATTAACATGTTGTATTTTTGGTGTAAAGAAGATGGTATAGAAGAAGTAGAACAGTTGGTAGATTTCCTAGGATCTATGTAATTATGGTTTTAG